TCTCTCAGGTAAAGACGAGAGGTGGGCAGTTGCAATGAACAGCAGCAGTAGCACAGGTTTGGAATGACATTCACACTCACAGGACTCAATAATACTTGTGGGACCCAGCCTGGCACTAGGAAACGCACAACAGCATGTGCCTTATTTCAGCAGGAGTCTTTACTCCAGCTGCCCAAGTGTCAATTCAGCTGTAAGGGAACAAGATCATTGGGTGGGTACAAAAGCCACGCCGGTGTAGAAGCTTCATGCTGCCTAAGAACCAGTATCTCTTGAAATAGCCCATGAGTGTAGCTTCTAGGGGTCTTTGTAATAAGAAACACAGCACTTAAGAAAACCCAAAGCCCATGTTTTCCAATTTATAGTTTTTGTCAGAGTCTTCCTAGCCCAGGTACAATTTACTAGTAAAGGATCATTTTTAATCATAAACAATATTGCCTAGCATCACAGCTGATGTTCTTTCTTTTAATATTTTGTCTAGTATGTTTACGCCGAAAACTGTGCTGAAAGATAAACTTGAGGTCTTTTTACTGGAGAGTTTCATTAACTCTATTCAAAGCAGTCTACGGTAGCATCATAAAATTAGGACCCAATATTCTATCTTCTTGCTCTGCTACCATGGCTTTTATTTCCAATGTCACTTTATAGTTCAAGAAGCCTGCTGGAGCTCTAGCCATCACAGTCATGTTGCAGCAGCAAGAAAGAGATGACTGGGCCCATTTCCTTTTACACCTTAAGGTTTAAGGAAACTTCCCAGATTCATTCATCACTCAACACTTCTAATTCCATATCATTGGCCAGAGCTTAGTAATATGGCCATGTATATACCAAGAAAAGCTGGGCACACTGATAACCTGAATAAATTCTTGGGTTCTATTACAAAGAAGAAAAGGAAGAACAGATACTGGATCAGGTAATTAGCAGTCTCTCCTACAGATAGATATGATGGGGGAAATAAGCTTTTTATTTTATTTTTTTAATAAATCTTTATTGTTCAGATTACAGTTGTTCCTCTTTTTTCCCCCTATAGCTCCCCTCCACCCAATTCCCAAGCCACCCTCTGCCCTTACCCCCCTCCCCCCACTGTCCTCATCCATAGGTGTACGTTTTTTGTCCAGTCTCTTCCTGCACCCCCCACACTCCTTTCCCCCCTGAAAATAGTCAGTCCACTCCCTTTTATGCCCCTGATTCTATTATATTCACCAGTTTATTCTGTTCATCAGATTATTTATTCACTTGATTTTTAGATTCACTTGTTGATAGATGTGTATTTGTTGTTCATAATTTGTATCTTTACCTTTTTCTTCTTCTTCCTCTTCTTAAAGGATACCTTTCAGCATTTCATATAATACTGGTTTGGTGGTGATGAACTCCTTTAGCTTTTCCTTATCTGTGAAGCTCTTTATCTGACCTTCAATTCTGAATGATAGCTTTGCTGGATAAAGTAATCTTGGTTGTAGGTTCTTGCTATTCATCACTTTGAATATTTCTTGCCACTCCCTTCTGGCCTGCAAAGTTTCTGTTGAGAAATCAGCTGACAGTCGTATGGGTACTCCCTTATAGGTAACTGACTTTTTTTCTCTTGCTGCTTTTAAGATTCTCTCTTTGTCTTTTGCTCTTGGCATTTTAATTATGATGTGTCTTGGTGTGGTCCTCTTTGGATTCCTTTTGTTTGGGGTTCTCTGCGCTTCCTGGACTTGGAAGTCTATTTCTTTCACCAGGTAGGGGAAGTTTTCTGTCATTATTTCTTCAAATAACTTTTCTCTTCTTTTCTTTTTTTAAAATATATTTTATTGATATTTAACAGAGAGGAAGGGAGAGGGATAGAGAGTTAGAA